CCTATAGTAGTGGCAGTTGCATGTCAGGTGGGAACGGGGTGGAGCTGACAGCAGGTGCGTGAATGTGTTCACAGACACACATCTCGCATGCTCGCTCACTCCTGCTTGTGCTGCCAGAAGCATTCTGGCCACTGGCTTTGGTCTTGCAATTCCTGGACCTTGGTCCGGCTGCTCTCCCAGCACAGAGGGTGGCGGGGGAAACCTGCATCTCAGGATCACCTGGGACCCATTCTCAACACTGCCTGCACACCTTTTGCACATGTGTCAATTGACTTATCACCAAATTGAGAACAAACCTGACCCTCACCCACTGCCTTCATGTCTGTTCATACTGAGCCTCCAGCGTGCTTCCCAGGCTCCTCCTGTGGCTCCCCTTGGCAGGAGACGGTCATTCTGCAGAGCAGCTGGTGGGTTCGAGGCACCGACCTTTCCCTTAGCAGCATAATAGATTTCTCACTACACCATGGAAACATCTGCAGGTTGAGAACAGTAGGTGATGGTTAGGCAGCAGTTAACCAGCGCTGAGATGACCTGATGTACTTTTAGAAAAATAGCTTCCTGCCTGTCCTTGGATTGTCTTCCAACCTGAAACTTGATTTCTTTGATTTTTGTCAGTGAGGGGGCCAAACCTTTCATATTCTAATTGCCAGCAAGATTTAGCACAAAGAGCAAGGTACAGCAAAGGGACTTAAGAAAACAAAGTTCTGTGAAACAAGGTCTTTAGTGTTACTGTATTTGCTGACTTGGATAGGCCAGGGGTTTTTGATGAGAGAGTTGACGGAAATATGTTTGATCAGCTGATTCTCTAATAGCATAAACATCACCGGCCCTGGGGGCTAAGATTCGGCTTGTGAGTCATGACTTGCTGGTTTTGTGATCTTTGCACTATTTAATCGTTTAATTGATTCCCCAGGACTTGAGGTTTCCTCAGCTGTGAAATGATGAGGTCAGGAGGTGGTGTGTACAGCTCATTCCTCCCTGCTTAGTTCCAGGGCAGCCCAGTCTCTTTAAAGTGCTTTGAAGCAGGGAAAGCCCATGATTTCACATGAACTGAACGCTGGACGCAATAATGCCTATCACAGGGCGTCTTGGTCACGAGTAGGCTGCTGAGAACAGACCAGGGAGGTGAGTGGAGCCCAGGGTATCCATCTGGGGGGAGGGCAGCAAAATGAGAGGAAGTAAGCATGTCTGAAACCATGAAGGTAATCACCATTTGACACACATCTCCAGCTCACCGAGGGCCTGATTTATCTTTAGGCCTAACAGAGGGTATTAGTTATTTATCGAGAATGAGCTTGTTGATTTATTGACTGGCTTTGATAAATACATTTTTGAACTAATGAACACAGACGTTAGACTTAGCGGTCCTGGGATGACACAGTGACAGGGAATCTGAGAGATCAGATTCATTTCGCAGCCGTCTAATGAGCTCCTCACTTGAGGTTTCCTGACACTTGACAGGCCCGGCTCTGCGTCTCCTACGCTGGCAGCTTTCCTGTCTCCTTGTCACTGAAAAGCTTGCTTTCCTGAGAGATTATTTTTAATGGCAGAGAGCTTCCTTCCACACAGCCTCAAGGCTTACCTTTAAAAGAGGGCTTCGTAAAAGTGGGCGATACGTACACATTTGCTTATTTCTCAGAACGCGGAGCAGTCCAGTGTCTGAGGCAGGTGGTTGCTTCCACCTGTTAGCAGTATAAAGTGTGTGTCCATTCAGGTGGTGGCCATGTAACAAGCCAGTACTACTCCTGGTTCCCTTGGGTTGAGGCTTCCACTTGCCTCCTGCTCTGCTCTTCAGACTGTTCAGGGAAATTTAAAGGATGCCTGTAAGATTAACACTGTCTCTAACAGTGAAAGCCCAAACTGGTTTTTTACTTTTTTTTTTTTAAACAGTTTAAGTCTTTAAAAGTTTTGAGATACAGTTATTACCTAAATAATATTTTAACAGTAGAAATAGAAATTTCAGAAATCGTGTGTGTCTCTGGCACCTGCGCGTCGTGGACACAGACCTTGCCCACCTGGCTGAGGTGGGGTCAGGATTCCCGTGCCATCATCCATCTCTCACACTCTTGCTCTCTCCCTCTCTCTTGCTCTACTCTCACTTTTCTCTTTCCCTCTCTCGCTCTTGTTCTTTCTCTCATGCAGACACACATGGACACAGTCCTCTCTGGAAGGAGGGCTCTGGGTGCAGCCCCCACTAGAGGAGGGGCGCTTCTTCTCTCCCTCCTTTACGACAGAGTGGCTCTGAGCTACAGTATGATTTGGAATTCTTCTACAGAGGAGGGTCTTTCTTCTCCCCATTTATTCTGTCCGTGTGGACTCATCAAGATTAATTACTTTGGGCTCTAATCCAAAGAGTCTGACAAACCCACTGCGTAGACTTGGGAATTTATCCCTTAAAGTCAGGCCTTTGTTGAGGAGACCCTGATCTGAACCCGCTGCTGTGGACTTGATCCCGGCTCCTGGCGACCCTGTAGCGCAGCACAGAACTGCCCAGACGGCTTCCAGGGTTATCATTTCCATGGAAACAGTCTTTTACCTTGGAGTTGATGCTGGGTTTGAACCACCTGCCTTTTGGCACGGAGCCCAATACTTAGCCACTACCAGGGATCCTTGTTAAAAATAGTTCATTTTCTTTCTGTCTGTGAGATGCACAAGGGTTCTTTTCTCTGAACTATACAGTGAGAACCTGGTAAGCTCCTGGATGTGAAACTCAGGAAAGACAGTGGGGGAGACCCCAAGGCTGGGGACCTCCAGGAGCTGTTGTCCCCCACGTTGGTCCACCTCCAGCAGTGAGTGACTCACTGTTTAAGTATTCCTTCCCAATGCCGAGTCCGGTGGCCTGGAGCCCGTCCTTAGAGCAGGGCATCTCTGCACCCGCCTGCCTGTCCAGGGTTGGCACTTTTACCCTCTGACCTCAGTTCTCTGATGGCTCTAAAAAGAGTGGATTTTTTGTTTTTCAGTTTTTCTGTTGTTATGAGGATGAAAATGATGACTTCTAAGCTTTTTGTGCCAGACCAGAAAACCTCTGTACTTGGGTGACCTCTCTCACCTCGGAAGGGTATATGGGATCCCCTGCCTTATCCATGGCCGCAGCTCTGTCCTTCCTCATTTAGTCAGGACGTAGAGTTGGAACAGACCTGGATTTTTCAAATGGGGTGAATTAGAAAGGGAAAGCGTATGGATTGAAGTGATGTTGTAAATGCAGTCATCATCCTAGAACACAGGGCAGCTTACCTACTGCAGAGCAGCCAGACCTCTTGCCAGGAGACTTCGAGGCGAGGTGGAAATAGATGTGCCCCATGCAAGGGTAGCGATGCCACTTTGAGTCACTATCCAGAAAAACCAAACCCAGCCTATCGTTGTCCAGACAACTCCAGGCCACTCTGAACCAGCTTTCCAACCCTGAACGTTTTTACAGGAGGAGACCACTGTCATTCTTCCTTGAAGCAGCTGATGGATTCGAACCTCTGATCTTTTGGTTGGTAGCCTGACAGCTGCATGCGCTACTTCACCTAGGTCTCTAGAAAGGACGCGCTTCCTCCCCTGTTGATGCTCCGTAGCAGGGCATCAGTTCATCACTTTCCCCACCCAGCTGTTGCTCTAGTTCTTCCAGATTTATAGAAGTTGGGTTTCTGGTGGTGGAGTCTGTAGGGAGTTGCACTGCTAACCCCAAAATGGCTTTTTTTCCCCCTGCTGGTTTGATTCCACCAGTGGTTCTGCTGGAGAAAGATGAAGTGTGTCTTCCTGTGCAATTTACAGCCTCACAGAAACCTGCCAGAGGGCCGGCCAGGAGCCGATTCCAACCTGGCAGTACTGAGTTTGCGTTTGAACTGGTTGGAACCAGCCTGATGAGAAGAAGGGGCAGCTTTCCCTCCTGCCCCAGCTCCTCTCCTTCTGGGTCCTCCATCTCTCACACGCTGTTTTCTTACTGGCCGCTATGTAGGATGGAAAGACAGTTGCACAGTTACTTAGCCTATAAAATATTGTATATTTTATTATCCACCATGAAAGCAAGTGCGTTAAAAATGCTGATTTCCCTTCGCATTCTGTTGCTGGGTCAATGTTCCTTCAAAGAAAAGTTTAATAACTTAATGTGGAATTTAGCCGAGGAAAGTGTTGACAACAGAGGGAATACCCTCAGGAAAAGAAACTACGGAAAGTTAATTTGTAAAGATTTTTAGTATACAGGCAGGCCTTGACTGATTGTGCGTAGAATATACTGCTTTTTTAACAGATTAAAAGTTTGTGATAGCCCACTGTTGGGGAAACTACTGATGGCGTTTTGTAACAAGCTGTATGCACATCTCGTGTCTGTCCCGGTCATTTCCCCAGTATTTCAAACTTTTTCATACGCTGCTGTACACTTGATAGAGTGCTGGAGAGCAAAGATGCCCCGTTGAAGACCAAGGTTAGGCTAACTCGAGCCGTGGTGCTTTCAGTTGCTTTGTATGCATATTCAGGTTGGGCAGTAAATAAGGAAGAAGGAAGATCTTGTCGATGCCTTTGAATTATAGTGTTGGTGATGAGACTGTTGAAAATATGACATGGGCTTCCAGAGGAATAAACGAATCTGTCTGGAAGAAGTGAAGCCAAGGTGCTCCTTAGAGGCGAGGGTGGTGACACTCACGTCGCACACTCACAACTGAGCGTGCTGTCGGGAGGACCAGCCCCTGCAGGAGGACACCATGCCTGGACAGGTGGAGCACCCGCAGAAGAGGAGAAGACCCTGCCCCACATGGACTGGCATGGGGACCGTGTGGCCTGCACCGAGAACTACCCGGCAGAGATAGGGAGGGTGGCCCAGGCTCCGGGAGTGCGTGGGGTCACTGTGAGTCGGGGTCACCTTGATTCTACCCGACACCAACAATAATAGGTTAATAAACATAATTCACTTCATTGCGATGTTGGTTTACTCTGGTCTGGACCTGCAGTGTCGCCACGGTCTGCCTGTGGAGAGATATCCGTTCAGATGCTGATGCTTGTGGTTCTGCCTTTCACAGGCCGAGCATCCCCCGAATGGGCCCGAGTGCGGCTACGGCTCCTTCCACCAGCAGTACTGGCTCGACGGGAAGCTCATTGCCGTGGGGGTGGTGGACATCCTCCCCTGCTGCGTGTCGTCTGTGTATTTGTACTACGATCCCGATTACTCCTTCCTGTCCCTGGGAGTCTACTCTGCACTGAGGTAAGGCTACTTTGGACAGTGTCACTGGGGCCTCTGGAACTTTAGGTAAGGCCTCATTTGATGGCATTTCATCAGATAATAGAAATCTTCCTTGGTAGTATAGTGATTATTGTTCTGCATACGCTGGTGCTTAGAAGGACCGCTTGAGACCAGATCGCGTGTCTGATGAGCAGTCTGTCTCTTGATGGTCTCCATTTGTGTGCTATTTGTGTTATATTTATTCATTAAAATCTCCCCTATCAGAATTGGGTTTTCCTAAAAATTATTTTTGTTCTTTTTGTGTCATAACCAGATGATATTTTCAGTCAAGTGAACTAGAGTAAGTGAATTGAAGCAGTATTCCTCAGTCTGTTTGAACAAATAGTTCTGTAAGTGGACATAACAGGGCTGGGATCCCCTGTTGTGCACTTGACAGTGACCTTCATCAGATCTGACTGCTTATGTGTATGGGTCAAGGTGTATCTTACAGCACAAACAGTTGAGGCACATTATCCTGATGGAAGCAGGAGTGGCATCCACTGCCGAAACAGCTTGCCTCCAGAAACTCTATGAACAGTGCTCAGGCCTTCCGTTCATAGGGTCCCTATGAGTCATCTATGACTCGACGGCACCTAACAACAACAACATCCTGATGGTGACAAAACTAGAAATATTTCCAGAAAATCCTTGTCTCTCTCAATTCCTAGTGGATCCCTGGTTGCTCATTGTTTAATCGGCTGTGAAGTGAGTGATTGGCAGTTCACACCTGCCTGCTGGCTCTCTGGGGGCTCTGGTGGCCTAGTCCCCATGGAGTTGCACTTCTAACCTGAAGGCTGACCTTGGATTCATCAGTGACTCCTGGGCAGAACGATGCGCTGTCTCCTCCTGTTCAGTTACAGCCTCATCCAGTGGAGGGCCCGCTGTGAGCTGGTCCTGACTTGATAGTAATCAGTATGTGACGGGTTGGAGGAAGCTGCGGCAGTCTGTGCTCTCAACGACTGCAGCCTGAGAAGCCCTGGTGGGGGGCATTTCTGCGGGGTCCCGTAGGGCTGAATCTACTCACCAGGAATCTGCTTATTGGTCTTCTACCTGCGCGCGCGCGTGTGTGTGCGTGTGTGTGTGTGCGTGTGTTGACAGAAAAGGGAGAGAGCGTGGGAAATTACTTTTATTTACTTTGGGGTATAACTCCACCCCTTTGTTCTTTCATGTTTTCCTCCGTACATTTATAGTCTGCCTGGTTCTTTATACTTTATTCACTGTGTATGTGCCCTTTTCTTAGTGATAAAAATGGAAGAGTTGCTATCCCTCTATAATTAGCATTTTGATTTAGGAAATAATTTTCATCTCTACCTGATTTTGTATGTGTGTTTCACTGGCCACTATATAAAGAAGATCTGCATATTGGTATTTGCAGTTTGTCTCAATAGCAAATTATACTGTATTCATGATACGGTATTTTTAAATGAGACCTGTAATGTGTACTGTCAAATCAGATCTGACGGGCATAGGAGGAGATTCCCCCTCCTCCAGCGGAGCACCTGGCGGATTCGAGTTCCTTAATCTTCTTCACCTTTTGTTTTCTCCAATTGGCTGTCCTGTTTGTAACCTAGGAAGCCCAGATTGGTTGAGTACTCCAGGGTATACTGGATAATAACGGGAAAGGGCGTTACCTACCCCATAGATCCTGTAATTGGCTGCTATTTGAAGTTTAGATCAGCTCCTTGGCTTAACAAAGTGTAAAGCTGGAACCTAGATACATTTGCTCAATGTAATGTCAAGTTGTAATGATACCTCTTTTGTAGAAATCATCTTACAGTATTTTTAAAATAGTTTGTAAGACTCAAATATTTGATAGTGTAATATAAAATTTCACCAAATATCTGTCATAAAATTATTGTTATTTGAATTTTGGAAGGCAAATTAAATGTGCCTTTTTTTTGGTTTTTTTGTTTGTTTTTTCCTTTTGGCAGAGAAATTGCATTTACTAAGCAACTCCATGAGAAGACGTCTCAGCTCAGCTATTACTATATGGGCTTCTACATCCACTCGTGTCCCAAAATGAAATATAAGGTAAAGTTGATTTTATTTCACACATGTGTGTGCTGTAAATTTGGTGACGAAAAGCAATGCCTCAATGTTTCATAATTCTTTATCCTTTCAGCTTAACTTGTTTGTATATTTCCAGCATAGGTCAGAATTATCATCTACTCTAAATGTGTCTTACACTTTTCAAAGCACCTTGTATGTTGATTACTTGTCAGCTTCTTTGCCTGGAATGTTGCCTGACATGGGCTTTTAATAAGTATGCTTGATAAATTAATTGGTAGAAACGAAATGACTACGTAGAAATTATGCATCCTAATCTTCTCCTCACTCCCACCCATGTCTCCCCTTGTGGGCTTCTGGCCTTGCCCCCTTTTGTACCCATCCCAGTCTTGAAAACCTGGAGCTTTCTGCACCAAGCGGTGAGATCACCAGTAATAGAGTATTTGCAAATGTTTGTGAAGTTTTCATTAGAGAAAAATGAATCTTAAACTTCTTATCACAGGGCATAGGCTTTGGACTTCTGAAGGAGGGATGAACTGGTTAATAATAAATATCTTTATTGCCTTTAAGCTGTCTAGAAAAAGTCTTCTCTTATTAGTCATCATATTATTTTGAGATTTAATGCAAGAACTTCCCTTTTAAAACAGGTTTTACATTTTATAGCTTTCTTTAATGAAACTGTAATATATTCTAAGAATAAGCTGCCCATTGCAAAGATTACAGAAAATGTAAAAAGGTTGAGCAGACACCTTCCATTCTCAGCCACCATCGGAGCCACAACCGACCCATCCCCAGCTTGTAGAACACAGCTCTGAAGTGCAGGAGATGGAAATGTGAACTTCACAGACTTGCAGCCTGGGGGCAGGTTGAGGGTATTCTGTGTTTAAAAACATACCAGCAAACGTACAGTGGTTGGTAAATGGGATCAGAGTCACAGTTTACCACCCATGGATGGAAGCCGAAGGGATTTCATCATACATGCAGATTTGGTTCTTATTACTAGTGTTTTCTCCTCCTTACCATCTTTAATGGTCCTAGCTCTCAATTAAAGAGCCCTGGTGATAACCACACTTGTTAGTAGGCTGATAACAGAAAGGCTGGAGATTTGAACCCCCACCCAGCACCTGCTGAAGAAGCACCAGAGACCCTCTCATAAAGATTCCTGCTGGGGGTCTTGCTCTGTTCTGTCTTGGGGCCACTGAGGAAGAACTGACCTGTGGGTGTCCAACAGTAATAAGCTAAATAAGCTGGTGGTAGTGACCCAGGTACTCGGAATGTTATAAAATAGCTACGTACAGAACTAACTGGCCACGCATCTCATCATCCTCCTGGATGTAGCACTTGCTTGTGAGCCGTCTGCATGGAGCAGCCTTAGAAGCTGGCGTTGACTGTTGCTCAGTCTTTACTGGCCGCTCCAGGTTCTTCCGTGCCCCTCGGTGCCTGTTTCCTTGTCTAAGCTAAATTTGAAGACACTGTATACTTAGGCCTTTTCCTCTTCTCTGGTAAGTGGAAGTGCTGAACATTCATCACCCCTTCCTTTTAATGAGACTTTTAACTTGCACCTTTGCTGAGTATTGTTCAGCCTAAATATTTGATGTTCTTTAGTCCTCTTTCTAGATAGAGCTCAGCTTGGAAAGGGAAGTCTGGCCCGTATCTCTTTTTGGGGTTGAGGTTTTTTATAATATTCCCTCCATACAGTTTTTAATCTGGCTTAATTATATCCAGTTTACATCTCTCTGAATGTCTTGGAATATTACTTTGTACAGCAGTGCGTGACTGGCACCCCCGGCACCCCGTTTGCCTCTGGCCTTCTTCCTTTGTTCATCCAGTGTTGCTGAGCTCCTCCTGAAGAGCCAGCCTGTAAGTTAACAGAGAGTGGTCTTCGTGGCCTAGTTAAGGAGGCAAGGACAGCACCTCTTTGGTGGTTTGAATACACCAGCGGCCCCTCGAGAGGAAGCCAGTCTCTTCCTGTGTGATTTACAGCCTTGGAAGCTTAACAGGGGTCCCCTGTCAGAGTGTGGGAACAGGTATGATGAGTGTTCATGAAAGGTCACCTCTCAGCCAGGTCTAAACTCCCAGAGTGTGGGAACAGGTACGGTGAGTGCTCAGTGGATCTTCACTTAACTCCTGTAAGTACTCTGAGAGCCGAAGGAAGTGGTGACAGCGTGTGCAACACTTTGGAGCTGTTGTTTAACTACAGTTGGGCTCAGTTTCTGCAACTGTAAAATAGATTTGATGTAGAAGCAAACGAAAACCCATCATTGACTCTCTTTGACTCTGGATTCTTTTGGGATCAGCGGTTTGTTTTTATCACGGAATGCAGATAGAAACACCATCAACAGCAGATTGATCTTCCCTTGAATAAGGTAGCAAGAAACTAGAGTTACATGTAGGAAGGGATCTCTTCCTGGTATTTTTGATAAATCACAAAATCAGGAAAAGAGACTGAAAAATCCAGAAGTTGGGGAAGTGGGAGTATTCTTCCTCAAAGGAGCCCTGGTGGTTGGATCAGTGCTCAGTGTATTGAGCTTCTAACTGAAAGATCTCAAGTCCACCAGCTGCTCCCAGGAAGAAAGGGGGCAGTCACCTTCCATGAAGATTTCCAGCCCTGAGCCAGAACCGACTGGATGGCAGGGGACATTCTCCCATAAGCAGGAAAGCTTACCTGCCTTACTTTGAAGAATCCACTGACATCAAGTCAAAACTCAGAGCAGGAAACCCTGACCGGTGGAGCTGATCGCTACGGTCCACGCTTCCAGGAGAGCCCAGAGCCGGGAGTCAGAGCAGTCACAAGCCAGTCCACCCGTCTTCCCGGAGCTGTGCTGGTATTAGGTGTGTCTGCCAGTAACAATGCCGGTAAAATAAATATTGATAAGTTTATATACAAAATGTTCATAGCCCAAGTTACAGGCCCTGTCTGAGCGTGTTGTCCCAGGAGATTGACAAGCTTTGGAAGTGAAATGACTCCGTAACTTGACATGTTGAGCGTGGGGGCTGAGCAGTGCTGCTCACTGCGGCGAGAGCCTGCTGCTGCCCCTCCTGCCCCTCGAGCCCCCGCCCACCCCCGCATCTGCCAGGGGTTTCCAGTGTTGATTTACTGTTGTAACTACTAAGTGCTGCTTTATTAAACAAGTCCTCAGGTGTGTGTAGTAAAAAGTATGAAGATAGTGAAAGCATTTAAAGAATAGGTTATGATTTGGAGAATTCCAGTTTTTCATCCTCAAACCCCAAAAGTAACTGTCTGCTGGGAACTTGGAAGATTCAAACCACCAACCTTTCAGAAGGCAGTCCAGTGCTTAGTTCAGGTGACCCTGATCTGGTGGCCTACACAATGTTTCGTTTGCATTTTCTGTAGTAGACCTGGAGATGTTAAGTTGCACCTTGTACCACAGAATACATTTGTTGTATAAAGTACAACACATTAAAGTATTTAATAACAGGTCTGAGAGCCATGCCCCTCAAAAGTGACTTTTGTTCCCCTCTTACTGGATGAGTTTTCTGTAAGGCATGCTGAAATAATGACTTCTACAAGCATCACCATCGATTTCTTTCATCGTCGTCTGTGTGCCAGCCTCACCATTATTCCCCACTTTGGATTTGTGTTGCTTTGTAACTTGCACTGCCCAGTGATAGGACACTCTGAAATAGCCGTGTGGGACTTCCGGGGCGGCCTCAAGAGCACTGGCAGTGCTGCTTTCTTGGTCGTGCATATCAGCCGTCACGGGAAAGTCCCAGAGATGCTGAGGGAGAGACTGCTGTGGGTATCGCTGACCAGCCAGGCTCCCAGCTGAGCACGGTCACACGACTGAGCCCAGGCCAGGGCAGCAGAACCTCAGCTGAGCCAGCTACCTCCTAGATGATGGGCAGTAATCAAGGACTGTTTGAAGCTGCTGCCTTCTGGGTTGGTCGGTTACTCAGCAGTTGGTGACTGAGACGCGTGGTGTGGGTTAGGGATATTGGGCCGTACTCTGCTCTGCGCTTAGACACACACATCCTTTGAGATTTGCAGACTCAAGTCCTGAACGGAGCCGAGCTGAGCAGTTTGTGACGCTGCAGGATTGGACGCTGCTGACATCCCCATCAGTGGTAGAAATTCCCAGGATTAGGAGATGATGTGTGTAGCTTTTAGCTTTTGGAGATGCCTCGGGTGCGTAGCATGCTGCTTGGAACAAGTCCATGTTATCTGCGGAATCAGAGTACTTTTAATCATGTGTCCTATTTCTCTCATCCTTCTCGTCTCTGTAACCACTGTGAAGTAGAAAGCTTGGTGGCTGTCACAAGATCGCTAGCCTTTGGAAAAAGCCACAGCCGACCCAGGTGCTTTAGAAAAATAACACTGTCTGAGCCTCTCCCTGACCTGCGGCATGACCCCATGTCCATCCGTCCTTTGCACTCTCAGTTCTCTGGCCATCACACCTTCTGCCCTGGAGCGTCCCTTGCCATCCCTAGTGCTGTCTCTTGCATCCCTTCTTCCTTCCCTGGCCCTTGTGTATCTGTTATCTTCCTTCCCGGATCAAGCTGACACACCAGGTCCTGATGGGAACCATCTCTGTTGCTCTCTACCCCACTTCCTCCTGCGGAGGCTGCAGATAACACCCCTGATCTCGGAGCCTGTCTTATTTTAGAGTGTTATCCACAGCTCTCCGGGTCTCCAGCTCTTTGTAGACACACATGGGTAAGGAGTACTGACGGCACAGTGGTGGTTTACATACTTACTTCAAAGCCACCAGCCAGTCGAGGAAAAAGTGAGACAGGCAGCTTCCATAAAGATGGTGACCTTGGACAACTTCAGAGACCGCTCTCCTCTGTCCTGTAGAAAGGCTGCTGTGAATAGGAATTGACCAGACAGGGTTTGTGGAATCTGTAAAACAACATCTTAGATGCAGGGTGCTCTGGTGGCCTAGTGAGTGAAGAGCTGTATTGCCAACCTTAAGGCACACAGTTCGAATCCACCAGCTGCTCCATGGGAGGAGGATAGACAGTCTCCTTCCATACAGTTTACTGCCTCTGAAAATCCGTGTGGG